GTCTCGCTGCCGGGGAGGCTGGCTGGGGAGGGGGCGCCGCTCAGCCGGGGGGCTTGGGGTGCCCAGAGCCAGGGGATTTGGGGTGCCCAGAGGCAGGGGATTTGGGGTGCCCGGCCCCGGGGGGCTTGGGGTGCCCAGAGCCAGGGGATTTGGGGTGCCCAGACCCAGGGGATTTGGGGTGCCCGGCCTCGGGTGGCTTGAGGTGCCCAGAGCCAGGGGATTTGGGGTGCCCAGAGCCAGGGGATTTGGGGTGCCCTGCCCCGGGAGATTTAGGGGTGCCCAGGTCTGGGGGATTTGGGGTGCCCGGCCCCGGGGGGATTTGGGGTGCCCAGCCCCGGGGGGATTTGGGGTGCCCAGCCCCGGGGGGATTTGGGGTACCCAGACCCAGGGGATTTGGGGGTGCCCAGAGCCAGGGGATTTGGGGGTGCCTGGCCTCGGGGGGATTTGGGGTGCCCAGAGCCAGGGGATTTGGGGTGCCCGGCCTCGGGGGCTTGGGGTGCCCAGAGCCAGGGGATTTGGGGTGCCCAGAGCCAGGGGATTTGGGGTGCCCAGCCCCCGGGGGGATTTGGGGTGCCCAGACCCAGGGGATTTGGGGTGCCCAGACCCAGGGGATTTGGGGGTGCCTCGCCCTGGGGGGGATTTGGGGTGCCCAGAGCCAGGGGATTTGGGGTGCCCGGCCCCGGGGGGCTTGGGGTGCCCAGAGCCAGGGGATTTGGGGGTGCCCGGCCCTGGGGGGATTTGGGGGTGCCCAGACCCAGGGGATTTGGGGTGCCCAGCCCCGGGGGGCTTGGGGTGCCCAGAGCCAGGGGATTTGGGGGTGCCCGGCCCCCGGGGGGATTTGGGGTGCCCGGCCCTGGGGGGATTTGGGGTGCCCAGCCCCGGGAGATTTGGGGGTGCCCAGGTCTGGGGGATTTGGAATGTCAGGGTTCAGGGGATTTGGGGTGGCCAGGTCTGGGGGATTTAGGGTGCCCAGACCCAGGGGATTTGGAATGTCAGGGTTCAGGGAATTTGGAAGAGCCCAGTCCAGGGAATTCAGGGTGCTTGGGTCTGGGTTCAGGGAATTTGGCATGGCCAGGTCTGGAGGATTTTCAGATACCCGGGTTCAGGGAATTTGGGGATGCCTAGGTCAAGGGAACTTGGTGTGTCCAGGCTCAGGGAATTTGGGGTGTCCAGGCTCAGGAAATTTGGGGCGTCTGGGCTCAGGGAATTTGAGATGCCCAGATCCAGGGAACTTGGTGTGTTCAAGCTCAGGAAATTTGGGGATGCCTAGGTCCAGAGAATTTGGGATGTTTGGGTTCAGGGAATTTGGGGGGTCTGAGTTCAGGGAATTTGGGGATGCCT